TTTTAAAGACAACCAAAAATTTTAAATAAAATTCATTATTATTATATCAATCATAAACTCTCTGGTAAAATTATGTAAATATTTCCACAAATCATCCGGTGAATGCGCAAACGCATTTGTTATACAATAGACATAAACGCGCTCATGCTACTGCCTCTTAGTCACACTTACAGAAGTAAAAAAAAAAGTTGCAACGACCATCAGCGATGATATAATTTCCTGTCCTTTATTACCTTTATTGTGAAAAGTACACAGGGAACCGCCGAACTTCTTGTACAGTACGCGATAAATACAACAAAATAGAACCTGGCGCCTTCCGTTAGGCTTCTTTTCAAAGTTTTATCAGCGCGAAATATTTGTCAGTAATAAATGAGACGTCCCTTTTATTACCAATAACATTAATAGTAGTGTATAGTGTAGACTGGGGCCGTATAAATAAATGTGGATGTGGGTGTAAATGTGAGAGACGAGCGGAGGAATTAGTGTATCTCGGAATTTATTATTTGTCGCTTTGATTTATTTAAGAAAAAAATACGGAGAATAGGTTAGTTAGCAATATTAAATTAGAGTTGTAAACCTCGTACTCGTAGTTACTGTAATAGTTTGTCATCAGATAATCAATCGATAATATTTAAAAAAGTTAAATTGATTTTCAAAATTGAGCCTTGGGTAAGCTTTAGTATGAATGCTCTTAAGAAAAGATAAAGAAATAAAAAGAAGAAAATGTCTGTGTGAGAGAGACAAAGGGAAAGAATTGTTTCAGTTTGAAGGGTAGGATATAGCGTGTTACACGGTACAGAGGAATAATAGTCCTCAGGAATGGCAACGCATGGGGGGTATCATGGGCGAAATAGTATACTCTGTTGTGTCCATATGCCATCTGCTCATGACTATAGGTGATGTCCGTCAGCTTGTTTGTCATTCTAAATTAAAAAATTGTAATGAAAAGATATATATATATATATATATATATATATATATATATATATATATATATATATATATATATATATATATATATAGTAGTAAGATCGCGTATTTGTGGCAGAAAATTTTTCAATTAAGTAATAACTCGTCAAGTTATAATCACCTCTGTAGTGTCTGTGTATCTAGAATTCTAAGTAGATATAGATACAAATTTACAAATTAATATCTTATCAAACAAATGCGAGAAATAAAAAATATTTTCATATTAAGGAACATTAGCCGTATGCTTGTAACTTGAAGCGGTTCGTTAGAGGCTGCCGCTTCAGTCAGCTAACAATAAGAAGCACTGCGGGCGGCGACGCGACCTACCAAAGCATCTCAATGAGCCTACCTGGATTATCTATCGAGTGATAAATTAAAAATATGGCATTTAAACGGCATTCATCATCGGAATGGGTCATTTTATACTCGCTTGGAATAGTTACATTGTTTGTCAAAGCAATGTACTACTTTAGTATGCAATCGGCGTAGGACCGTTCTCTTGTACCTAGAACAGACTGGCTGCTTGGTATGTATCTGGAATTTCTGTTGTTCATTTTGTAATTTAAAGCAACCTCAAATATCTATTTAAGAACATTCTAAGGTGAAATCTTTTGCATTGTTTTCGAAAATTATTTTTGCATTCGATTGATTTGGTGTTAGTCCAATATTGTTTTTGTGATGTGTATGTAATAACACAGGGAGCAAACGAGTATGTGGTTCACCTGATGGTGACTTCTGTTCATGAGCACTCTAACACAAAAATTGCAGGCATGCTGCCGGCCTTTTAAAAAGTAATATGCTCTTCTCTTAAAGGTTACGATATCGTATCGATGCAGAAATACTGCTGCTGGAAATTGATTCAAAGCATTGTTGTACGCGGAAGAAAGTACCTTGAAGAAACGCACGATAGAAGATCGTCACTCATCCAGGTGGTTGGGATGAATGTATAGGTTGTAGCGGGTTGTATGATGATGAAATTCAGCGGCAGTTATCAATTCCAATATTAGTCACTGCTGTTTTTAAATTGCATTCGGTCATTAATTTAAATTAGGAATAAAGTCTTGGTTAAATAGTCATCCACTCAAGTACCTAGGTATAGGTACTTGCACTGCACTGCACTGAATTGCAGCACACAAAGTTTCTTTGCCACAATGTTTGTTATCGACCATTCCAATTGAGTATGTAGTGATGTGAATTTAAATAACATTGTCGAGAACGGAATTAACATATCCAAAGTAGTATTTAGGTTACATATGTTTATGGTTCACATTTAATATTTATGGGAAATGTATGCTTATACTCCTTAAGTATTACCTATTTTTCTACCCTGAAGGAGATCTGGTGGTAGAGGCTGATAATGAAGTCATGAGTATAGGTAATAATTTCATTAATATAATAAACGACAACTGATGAGGATGGAAGGTTTTTGAGTGGTGACCCTATACGGGCAAATGCAGTGTAGGACAACCCCCCACTAGATGAAGCGACGACTTCAAATGTATTGCAGGGAGTCAGTGGATGTAGGTGGTTTAGGACCGTTCTTTATGGCTGTCTATGGGGGAGGCCTATGTTCAGCAGTGGACAGATAATGGCTAATAAATAATGTCTATTCATGGAAGATATTTAAGAAAAATTATACACGTATAATGAACTCAATAACACAATGATTTTTAGTAATTTTGTTTAACTGTCTGTACATTTGTTCCGGTATCGAAATGTACTAAAACAAATTGGACGCGTTTTCCACAGTTGTATTCCTGAAGGTCTAATTTAAAATGTGGTGTATGTTTTTTCTTTTATGCAACATAGAATGGCAAACAAGCTGACGGCCCACCTGATAGACATAAGCAGTACTATGGACATAACAGAGTATACTGTTTCGCCCATGATACCCCCCATGCGTTGCCATTCCTGAGGATTCAGGTGTTATTCCTCTGTACCCTGTAAATTCTCGCCATATCCCACCCTTCAAACCGAAACACAACCATGCAAACACAACTGCTTTACGGTTGAAACACGAATGGGACAGAGGTATATAAGCAAACGACTTTTGTACAAAGTCTCCCTCTGGTATATTTTAATTTAATGCGTCGTCTATAAGCGGTTTATTTCATCGGCTCTCTTACTTTTAAATCAAGGCGTACGAAGTAGCGGGCAATAAGCTATAGTGTGAATAATATAAACAATTAAGCTTATTTGATAGTACCGTTCAGAGTGTCAGAGATAATTAGAAGATATACAAAATTAGAAGCAATAGCAACATTTCAAAGGTTTCAGGTGTCAATGAACTTTCCTATTCATCACTGCTGATCAAAGAAGCGCGAGCTCGTCGCACAATAAAGAAATAATTTTAGACTTCTTCTGAGTTTGCATTCGTATTTTTTTTTTATGAAATAAGTTGATATTTAAGCGACTTTTATAAGCGATAGATGAATTGAGGAGGTACTAAATTCGTTTTTATTTTTTTATTCGACTACAAAAAAGGAGGTTTTCAATATATAAATTGATTTGGAAAATCCTTTTTTATTTGAAAGAATATATTTTTAGACTGGTACAATAGAAAGTTCGTTGAAATTAATTCAGTAGTTTGGGTATTAAATCAAAATACCTGATTGAAGTCGTTTTTTCTGTAGAGCAAAATTTTGTGATCATGTCGAGAATTCTGGATCGATTGAAATAAATAATTTTGAAGATTAACTCTCGTATCGGAATCATATTAACTGCCTTTTTTCTAGCGGAGCAAAAGCTACTTGTTGTGAAATAAAACTACTTGTATACACAGGATTTCGCATTCTAAATTCAAATATTCGTGTAATATGTCTACGAAATATGCGTCGTTCATTTTTGTAACGATTGAAGTAGCTGTTTTTTATAGAGAAAAATGTATTTGTCAAATGACATTTTGTTGTGTTTTGCGAGGCAGTCGTCTCAGAGAATGTATAGGCGCGGAGTGGACAGGCGTTCGATATCAGTGCGCGCGCAACGCCCTGCGGCACAGACTAGTCTGGTGCTGGCTGTCACTACCAGACTCTTTTATGAGCGCACTATTTTATACGGAAACTTTCTTCATTTGTAATGGCCATTTTAAAGTTGGCGACTTATATGATTCTTAATATTAAAGAAGTTTGTTAACTTTGAGTATTTATTATGAAGTCATATATAAAATAAACCTATGTACTTATAGGCATGTTAAGTGTAAGTAATATTTCTTTACGTATTTATAAAATGAAACAATTCTTATATTATAATATATATTAGATTTCTTTTATCCTATAAATCTAGAGTAATAATCATTCAGCCCCTCTTGTTTATACCAAATGTTTTAAAATTAGGTACTTTTACTTTCAAAAGAAGTTCTGTTAACTACACAAAATTATTAAAATGGAAAGTAAAACATATTTTCACTTAAACTATGGATTACTTCTTTATTCTGTACTGAAGCGTTTGTATTTGAATAAATCTAAAATGTAAGTAAGTATAATAAGTATAAATAGAATCCATTAATGAATATAAACAAAAATCCAGTAAGTAGTATAACAAATTTGTACCAATTTCATGTTTTTGTTATGTTTAAACTTAAAAGCTTTATCAACATTTTCTGGTATCATGTTTAATTGGTTTTGGTATCTTATCTAATATTCGATTGCATTTAATTACGATCTAGTGGATTTAGATGTTGTTACAAGTATCAATGTGAAAAAATTTTGAAGAATAAAAACATTCTATCAATATAAAATGACATCTACTTAGAATGATTTATGAATAATTGATAAAATATATTTAAACGTTACTTCTCTAACTTATAAAACAGGTAAATTTACTTTTATAAGTCCGGCAAATGTAGGCGCGTCTAGTGTCATTGGAAAAAAATTCGTCACTAGAAACATCGTACTATCAACATACTATATATCTAATTTGCAATTTGTATTCTATTTTACAGCTGAAAGTGGTATGTGTCATTTAGGCATTTTATTTCTGTTACTAATCTATTTCATGCGATCTGTGGCATCGGTTGGTGGCCATTTCTTACTCTGTGACGGCTATCGTCAGTACGAGAAGACGCACCGATGAGGGTGGACGCGTCTCGCTCGCCCATCAGAACGACGAACGCGCGTTCGCGAGTGGCCAATTAAAAAAAAAAATAACGAAAGCATTTTTAATTTAAAACTTTATATTTTAGCGTGTTAATTGTGAACATGAGGTGTTTTATTGTGATGATGTTGATGGTGGCGTGTGCGGGAGCCGCCGCTGCTGCAGTGGCAGCGTCGTGCGCCAGCTCCGAAGGATTCTTCGCCAGATATAACGCATCAGCTGATGTTAGCGATCATCCAGGTGCGGGTTTTGATATACCTAAGTAAAACATATTGGATGCGATGCTACCAATAAAAGCAATAAAAATGGGAGAATGTATGACATAAAAAAAGTTTATATATTTATTTGTTATGTACTATAGAATTTTATTTATTGTGTTGCAAAATAAAACGGGAAATATATTTACGAGTGTCGTGTTATAGCTCATACGAATAAGAACATAATCCGAGTGTCTTAGTACAGTGTCTTAGACAGTATGAAGAATTTGTTAAAAATTAACAATGAAACGTGGGTGTTCCGGTCACTCGATATTTCTGTAAACGGACGTCACTAACTTTTTGTACGGAACGATGGTGACTGACAGGTGGCTGTAATTGGTTCTGGTAGTGTTTTGGACTCACTGCAATAGAGACATGGCCAAATTCAGGGAGCATAGGCGCAGAGCGGATAGCAGGACCGTTATATTAACGGGTGATGTGATAAAAAGTACTGGAATATTTTATGAAAATGAATCTTGGTCGCTTACAATAGAAAAAAATATCAAAATAGGAAAGAAAAAAAAAAAAACATGAATATAAAAAGGCGCGTCACGCACGTCACTGAAGAATCGCAATAAACTATCGAGGGGTTTAGAGAATGTTAGCTCAAAAAATATTGATTTTAAAATTTAAATACATTTAGTAAACAGTTTCACGTTTAAGCAATTAAATTTATTGATAAGCTGGAATAATTACAGATTTTAATAAGCATAATAATTTGAAAGTATCACATTTTATTTTACTTAACAAATTAAGAATCGATAATAAATCAAAGTTTTAAAATTAAGAAAAAAACGTAGCGCAAACAACTTTAATCTATGAAATGAAAAGAGTACTTATTTTGTAAGAACGATTTACAAATGGTAATATGTAATATAAAAAAGTAACTAATAAAAATAAATGCGCGAGAGGTCACTTATAATGTCAAATAGATACTAGGTGTATAAATAAACACATAAATAACACCTATCGACGTTAAAGCGAAGGGGAACATTGTTGATGCAAATATAAAGATATAGATTAGTTATCTGCATTCGAGTACAAGTGGGGGTGTCTTGTGTCAGCGCACGCGCTGCTCGGCTGCCTTCTCTGATTACCTCTTCACATTCACAGCTGGTTAAACAGCCCACTATCGCTCTGATGCAAATCTTAGAACAGATAATTAAATGTGTAAATTTGTACTTATCATTTCTTATCTAACCAACTAATTAGCTTTTGAAACTTCGCGTAGATTTTGGAAGTAGGAAAACTAATGAAATAGACCAAGTTAGATGGTGTATCAAGATAAAACATACTCGGATTCCAGCTGTTAAGTTCGACCTTCAGGAATACGATTGTGACTAATTTGGTGCAGTAGTTTTTGCGTGATGTCGGCACAAATATACGGATAGATAGATAAACTGACAGACAGAAATTCTAAATAATTATTGTTCGGTCTTTTGTTATTTTATTAAGATTTGTCATGTCAATATTTTCTATGTGTAGACATTGTCTAGTTAGATTTTTATTATACAAGTATGTATAGATAAATTTTTTATTCTTTAATTTAAAATAATACAATCATTAAATTATTAGTTTGTCTATTATTTGTATTTAATAATGTGATTGAACTTAAAACGGAACACTCCTCTCATTTGGCTAAGATTTGGCTATTCTTGCAAATTATATTTAGCCTGCCCCTCTTTGTCAAATGCCAACCGTAAATGCCAAGTGTTAGATATAATAAAATATAACAACATAACGCTATTCTTAGTTCATAAGTAATATACAAACACAAAAAATACCTACGATACTAAAAGTATACCAAATATTTTTTGGTCAACAGTATAATAGTATATCACGATACTTACGATTTCATTGCCAATTTCTAACATTTTCTTCCAGATAATACTAGGTAATATTCATAAAACTGTCTGTCAAATTTTCCGAATAATAACATAATGCTGTTAATTTTTAAGTCAGTTTTTAATATTTATAAATTAAATAACATTTTCAGTCACTGAAATTATGAACTCAACAACTATCAGATTTGAATACTGTCATTTAATTATAAATATCAACCATCAAATTTTTATTTAGTACATCAAAGAATTTCATCAAAATAAATCTTATTTATTTAGAATTATGCTTTTAACTTTAATTAGTCGAATTTAATACGATTTTAATTTCATCATTATTTCGAATTTTATTCAGAACTATGCAATAACGCAATGGAAATTTTGTGTCAAATATTTATTTTGGAACGGGTTAAAACTGACATTGGATTTATATGAGTTTCTTAAAACGTTATTAATATTTGATGCAATATTTATTTATAGGATATGGATTTTATTCACGTTTCTAGAGCGCAAATACGAAAACGACCGCGGAATTGATTGAAAATCAATTTTATTACGCAACATGGTCGCCCTTCTATTTGAAGGCAGTGGTAATCACGCGGCGAAACACCGTTTTATGGGAGGCCTTGGAATTGGGTAGTTTTTTTAATTAATTGCAAATGTTTCGTTTGCTTCTGTTTTCTTCTTTATTGATAAAAATCGCAACTGATTTTTAGGTTCGGATTTAATTATGAGAGACGTTTTAGATAGCATAGGAGACATAAGTTTTTTCATTCTCACATATTGGTTATATTATAATCTCAGTCTTTGTCATACCAGAGAAAGATTTTGTATAAAAGTCATTTGCTTGGGTACCTCTGTCCCATTCGTGTTTCTAGCGTGAAGCAGTTGTGTTTGTATGATTGTGTTTCGGTTTGAAGGGTGGGATATGGCAGTGAATTTACAGGGTACAGAGGAATAACATCTCAGAAATGTCCTCAGAAATGGCAACGCACAGGGGGTATCATGGGCGAAACAGTATTCTCTGTAATGCTCATGTCTATAGGCGACAGTTATTATTTTCCATAAAATAAATGTTTCGCTTGCTTCTGTTTTCTTGTTAAAAATTTCGGATTTAATTATGAGAGATGTTTCAAATAGAACACGAGACAAAAGTTTTTCTAATTCTCACATATTGGTTACATTATAAGTCTTTGCAATGTATATTTACATATTGTATATATATTATATGTACTTATTACATTTGTGTACTAACTGTATCGGCACTTTTTTATATACTTATATTCTGAAGAAATTACTTCGATGACATTTGAAAGTAAATTTTTGTTTTGTTAATTTTACAAGCGCCTGCATAAATGTATAGGATCAAAGCATGTATTTATATTTTCTTTTATTATTGTTTAATGTGAATTTTAATATTCAAATGAATTCGTTGAGCAATTTGTAGTTTTTTTTTTAATGGGTGAAGATTGAATGGTAGTCCCGCTTGCGTTATCGATATATGCTGGCGGGGTACCAATGAGTGATGATAGATGAGAACGAAAACAGATCAGTTAGCCTATCGTGACGAATTTAACAAGAAAGCGCGTGGATGTTATATTTCTATATTGCATGGTAGGTGTTTTACTATGCAATATATATGTTACTTAATGCAGAACATAAGTTTCGTAAATATACAATAAAATCATTTAGCAGTTTTAATAAATTATAAGTCACATAATATGTAGAGCTGAAAATACAATACTTTATTAGTTCAGTTTGAAACGGAATGTTAAGTCAGCTGTTCGATGTGATATGACACCTGACCCTGAACCTCGATCGCATGAATGAAACAATAATACTTATTTATAATCGTTGCCGCAATACTTAAAGACAGTTTTGCATTACATTGAACTCGCTTAAGGTTAATCGTAATGGATTCCAATGGCGGATGTTGAAACGGAATTTATTAGGCCATTGGCAAAAATAAAATGAGGAGTATTCCCTTTCATGTCCCCGTAATGGGAGTGTGCGACGATTTTTGAATATCGAACATTGATATCGGCTCTGATCCACACCGTCGTAAAGCTACTTAGGGGGAAAGTCACGAAAAATTACGAGTGCGAGACGGAACCGCTAGAGGGGCGAGCGGGGAAAGAGAGCGCGGGGTGAATGGCGGCGGGTAGGCTTTGTTGCTTGTGCTGGAATTCCTCGCCTGGGAACCGGGAACCAGGCGTCCCCCGCGCACCGCACACCTGCCCCTGCGCGCATTCCTGCCCTCTCTCACTTTCATTGTTCCCGTCGGTACGGGAGGTCGCCGCTCCATACAAATAATGGAACCAGTCATTTAGTGGGGAGGACTCGTTGGCGCACTCCAATAAACACGTCTGACCTGTCCATAAATGACATTTACTTATCATATATACTTTATAATGTTTATGTTGAACACAATTATCTATGTAGCTTTATTTACATTGTTATCATTATCATTCAAATCAATTTATCATGACAGTCTGAACGTTTATTACGTCGCATGTTCAACTCAACCAATGAGTTTGTTTATCTAATCATCAATTTGACAGTTAACAGTAAAGTTACAAAAACGGAAATTTGTAGATGCACCTGCTGGTGAATTGTAATAAAATCATCCCCTAATAACAACAATAGAGGCCGGCCATTATTATTGTAATATATCAGCGGGCTCCGTGAGTTAGTCATCGGAGTCTGCGTCGAATTTTGATTCATTTCGAATGCCCGGAATGCCATTGTGCTGCCGACACTACCTGCTCCGACACAGGTATTGGGCCGTACACCTCAGTCATTTGTGTTTATACATTGTGACAAACGCTTGTTAGTTGTGAAGTGTTATTATCAACAAGGGTGGCATTTATTGCCAGTTGTTCTATGCCACTTGTTTTATGTTTCATTTACCCTGCACTTATGAAAATATTTGTTTAATACTGCAGTTGTTGACGACATTGAATAATATATTCTAACGTTATAAATCCATATTACTTCTATTTATATTCTGCATACATTAAAAGATTTTTTTTTTAATGAATGATAATGGAATGGTGACCCCGCCGGCGCTAAACGGTATACGTGGGCGGCGCATCAGTGAGGGATGGTAGGTGAGAATGAAATTTAATAGGATGGTTTCTAGGGG